TGTCAAAATCTGAAAACACGGAAGAGCTACTAAGAAGTTTTTCACAAAGGCTTGCAATATCGTAAAGGAGTCCAGAAGTTTGTGCAGAGAATTTGAATGTTCTGTAGTTCTGAAAGGAAGAAATAATTTCGGAAAACGAAAACCTCGGGTTACTTTTCGAATCTTTGGAGTCCTTTGCATTAACCTTGTTGTACCGTTTTGACTTATTCGACTCTATCATAATCTATTATTCATGAACAGCCTAATAACACAATCTAACAGCACAATAATATCAATGATGCACTCGGACGGGTTGGTGAAGAGGCAAGTGGAGCCAGTCACCGCGCATGTATAAAGGGGTCTGTCAACTTTTCGGAACGACTCCCTACCACGCCGTATCCTAAAAAGGATATACTAAAGATGAAAACTTAATGTTTTCAGTTTTCTTTAAGTAGTAAATTTTTGCGCCCTTCTACCGTTTCTAGAGCCATCACAATACGTCATACGAGGTGCATGCGCAGGCACACACTCTATGGTAGGAAAGGGGTCCGTAAAGTTGGCAGACCCCTTCAAAAGTCACTTTCACTTGATGATGACTGGAGGATGACTGGGCGTCAGGCTTGTACGCGTGTTCTTCTCCTTAGCCGTCTGCTTCTTCCAGCACTTCTCTCTTTTCATAGCCTAACAAACTCTAAAAGTGCGTTCAGCGTGGGGGTTGAGCACCATATCGCTATATTCGTCCTCATTCTGTTCCAACAACAATTTGAATCGAGCATTTCTCTTTTTCACTCGAATAAGCCTTCCCCAGGCGTGCGTAATCCGCGAAAACAATCTCCTATGTAATTCTGAGAATATGATAAAGCTTCAGAAGAGTGCGCAGTCTCGGCTTGCCGGCGGTTTTTTTTCTTCCTTTGCAATATATTTATCCAGTACTTATCAGCATTCGATAAGGAAAACGCTTCTCAAACCCTGACATACTGAAATGGCTTCAACTGCAAACCCGAAGACGTAGCAAGCAGGTGTTTGAGGCACTATTCAACTATTACTACCCCAGTTTTCCAAACATAGGCCAGATTTTGACCGGCTTCTTTCTACGGTGGCAGACTCGGCTCAAAATTCGGTCCTAGTTCGAGCTCCTGAACACCGATATCATATCCGCTTGGCCTGAAGTCAACTGGCGTCCGCCCCACCGGCGCCAAGACATCCTCACCAAATCCGCTGGAAACTTGTCCCCAAGGGTAGTCTGACCTGCTGAATATAAGATCCGATCCGCACGAAAACGCCTGGCGAGCACGCCACAGACGCCGAATTACCCTAGGTTACCAAATCCGCCGAAAACTTGTATACGGACGTTATTTGACATCCTGATTACAAATATCACATTCATTTTTGGCGCTGGCGCTGATGGAATTCACTTCGATCATCTGCGCTCTGCTGAGACTGATCCTGACTCATCCTGACCCAAAGGGTGTCACTCCTTCTCCCAGCAGGGTACGCCATCGTTGTGATCATCACTAGGGGGGGTCTTATTTGACCGCGAGGGAGGGGGGGGGAGGGGTCGTATTTGGTCAGAGAACATTTTTTTTTG